TAATAAGCTCCGCCGTTTCTAGCTGCACACTAATGGCACATGTAGATGCACCCACTGTAATTTTGTTTCTTTCTCATAATGTTTTATGTAGGTTTAGTTTCATACTAGTCTCTCTTTGTCGTATTAGGCTATTTTAATAATAACCATGATTAAAACCAAAGTCACTTCCAGGGTGTATAGGAGCAACAGATTGCTCCAAATATACAGTTGCAACTCATGCACAATGTGGGTCTAATCCCTGATTCTGAGTTGTTTGTCTTTGATTTATTTTGGGGGTCTGAACTTCTGTGGAGGAGTCACACCCAGAACAGTTTTCCTAGATGCCACTAATAGATAAATCTAGTAAATGGAAAAGTATTTATGACAGTGTGTAGATATGGGGACCCAGTCTTGTCAAAAATACAGGCCATGGGCCTGTGGAATCATTCCATTCAGTCTCCCAGGTACCAGGGGTTACTGGAAGAAGCTAGAGGGTACAGCTTGCTGCAGAATTAGGGGCCTCTGAGCTCCCATGGACATGGCTGTTGACAGAGCCCAGCTCACCCTGTGGTCTTTTGATCCATCGCCTCTTACAGCTGTGTTTACCTTTCCATGTTTACCTTTCCATGAGTTACCCTGGAGAATGTCAGTCAAATGTACCTGCTGTACCCAGTCATGCACTGCTTCCTCAGGTCAGACTGAGAAAGAAGAGCGTAAATGCCTTAATGTAGGAAATTAGACATACTCTATAAAACGGCAGTACTGAGGAGAAAGGACCTCTCCCTTTCTCCTCTTTCATCCATTTATGAATTCCTCCATAAAGGAGCTGTGTGTTTCTTTTTTTTATTGTTTTTTAAAGGAAATATTCCATTTGAACTATACATGCCCTAGTTATGTATTCTTGTTATTAATGCCTATGTCCTGTTGACTAAAACAAGCTACACCTGAGCATCTGAGTACAATTTAATCCCCATAAGGTAGGTTTTCTTATTAAGTTTTTAAAGAAGAACATAATGGTGGCATGATACCAATCTCTCTTTCCTATCAGTCAGAAACAAGAATGGTATACTTTTACTAGATATAAAGATGCCATCTCTTATTACTATTAAGTTGAAGTCTAGAAAGCCTGCATGTATAATTGCTAAGCTATAAATCATCAGTGCCTTGGGGCTTTTAATGTACCGTATGAGGAAATAATTTACTGAGGAATGAATGCATGAAAAAATTAATAGAGCACAAAAATATGTTCAAATAATAGATCAAGTTCTAAATCCATTAGATGGCAAGTCTGGGATAATGATTCTGTGTTATCTGATAGAAGGAATTTGGCCCAGTATAGCTTTCATTCATTTTTGTTGTCTTATATATCTGTTAGCCACTGTTGTTGTTAAGATCATACTCATTCTGTATCAGTAGGAGCAGAGAAGAGCTTCATCTGGACCTGTTGTTGATGTCATTCCAACAGCTGCACATAAGATTTTGCTTGAAGAGAATCTGATTTTACTCATTGAGGTAGACAGGAGTTTTGTCTGAAAAAGATTTGCAGGATTAGACCCAGAGTGTGGCGGTCCCTCCTCAATATAATTACAGCTCGGTTGGTTTTTAGGACCATAAGCATCATATGGTGTGTATACGCAGTCATATCAAATTAATTTCCTTTTTGCAACTTTGCCAGCAACTTCTAAATGTTTCAGGTTAGATTGTGAATAGCGGTGCATAGTTTCAGGGTAGGAGGAAAGGGAATGAAGAAAGGAGGAGTTAGTCACAGTCACAGACTGCACAGTAGCAGCTCAAAGCTGGCCCCAGGGGGTGTTTTTACACATGCTTCAGGGGAGGGGAGGGCCCTTTAATTAGAGGAGCTCCAAGAACTGCTCTAATTAAAGCACCTGGAGCGTCTCATATGTCAGTGTCCCTGCACTTCAAAATGGCAGCAGGGGCACTTTAACTAAAGCTTGGCAAATGAGCTTTAGTTAAAGTGCCCCTGCCATTGCTGCCATTTTGAAGCATGGAGATACTGATACACAAGACATGGAGGCTGCTGGAGGTGCACTAATTAGCATGGTCCAGCAGACTCGATTTATCAAGTCCGCTTCAACACACTGTAATTACAGCGTGTCAGAGCAGCCTCCCCACATATCTACAGGTGCCCAGGGCGGGCAAAGCAGACAAGTGAAACCGGCCAAAGATGAGAGATGATGAGGATGTAGTAGTAGTTATTCAGACCCTACCTCATAGCCAACAGTGTACATAAGAAAACAGTAGAAACTACAGAGGAAACGAGACTTAAATCTATAGTGGAAATAGTTCTTAATTTATTCAGATCTCATAAAAACCCATCAGCAAAATTATCATTTTCAAGCCTCTTTCTTGGCAAAATAGATTACCATCTTTTCTCAGATACAACACACCTCAGGATATAATGTACCTTATTTTTGAAAGGAAGAATGAAGAAGAAAAGATTTTTCCAGAGTTGTGGCTGTATAGAAGACTGGATCCTTGGGTAGATTTATTATTTTAAAAAGAGCTAAAGAGTCTCCAAGGCTGTAAAGTAGGAAGACCAAGACCAGGAGCACCTAGCAGACAGAAGACTTGCCCTAAGAAAGGCTAGGTTGATTAGTGGAACATCAAGACTATTAAAAAGGAGAGAGAATTTTCACACCTATGGAGTGAACACCATTGACCAACTAAGTCATTGACTCCCTCAGCTGTCTGAATAGTAATGCAGCTGCTGCTGCACTGTGGAGCAGGAATCAAAGCAGGGTGCTTCTGCCTGGGCAAAAAATCAGCTTCTGTGCTTAATGTGCACACCTCAATTTTGAGGGGTGGATGTAGGGGGGAAAGGTACATGTTGTATACAAGAAAATTTGGTATTTAGAAAAAAACATAATTGATCAGCCTCGCTGCTTCATTTACTTATCAAAATGCATTCCATTTACTCAACCAGACATCAGTTCTGTTTTGTTCATCCACTCGAATTCATTTTATTTATCCATTTATCAGTTTCACTTTCCATACTAATTGCATTGCATCCTTTAGATCACTGATTCTCAACCAGGATGTTGCAGCACCATGGAGTGCCAGGGAAACCTTTAATGAGGTGTGATAGGGTGCTGTGCAATAATATCACTGTTAGGTATGCAAACACCTGCACATGATTCACAAGATAAACCTAGAGATTTTAAATAGAAATACAGAGAATCATTCTGACCTGTTGTGGTCTTCTTCCTGAGTCCTTGGCAACAAAAGAACTGCTCCATTATTTTTTTCATAGTCAAAAACCAAGTGAAAGCTAAGAGCTACATTTCTGAGGAGTGCCTTGAGTCTAGTGAGGGCTGCCTTGACATTTTAAGAAGTTGAGAACATGACAGGATAGTCTGCTGTCCATTGCACTCCACAGCCACATATGAAGATGAGAAACCTTTGAGAGACTCTTGTGTTAATTAATATAAACAAGGGTTAAAAAAACCCTTGTTCATACTGTTTTACAACAACCAATATAAATGTTTGCAGCAGTATAATATTATGCCAGGCAAATGGTACTTTGTTGTTGTTGTTAAGAAACATTTTGGATACAATTTCTTTGTTTTCCTCCACTACCATGTTCAGGTGGTTATTGAATTGTTGAAAGGTTAATTAAATGTTTCTACTTGGAAGCAAAGTTAAAGGTGATTTAGAAGTTTGGTGAAAACAGGGCCCTCTTTACTCTCTTTTTGTTTCTTTAGGATGTGTGATACGGGGTCTGTCTTGTCGGTTTCTTCCACTTTAGAAATAGTAGTGATCCCAATTTTAGTTTTTTGGTTTACCAAAAATTCTGATCAGGAATTGATTTGTCTTTAGTTCAGGTAATGTCATTATGGGGTTCACTGCAACTCCCACCTAACTCAATACTCTAATCTTAGAAGTAATAAGTACTATGTATACATTTCTTCTACAGGAGATAAAATGCCAGTCAAATAGATCAATTCATTTGTATGTTTAAGCTACTGTCTGTTAGTATTCTTGTTATAAATTTATTTGTATAGACCTTTTACAAGCTGTGGGCTGAGACAACCCAGCTTTTGTCCAACATGGGCTGGATGGCTTTGGTGACATGTCAATGGTTGGGAGCTTTCCCTTGGCTTTGGCCTCTGGACTTGGCATGGGCACAGGCAAAGCCTCCAGCTTTGCAGGCTGTATCTAATGGCTTCTCAGATCGTATAGCCTCCTGGCATTGCCAACCCCTGGTATAGAACATTAGTAGTTCATGAGGCTTTTTCAGATGAATAAGTGTCTCCATCTTGGGGAGTGTGTGCATACGTGTGCAGTTTTGAACAAGGGCTGTATCTTAGTCTTATTGTATCTAATGGGGAGTCATGAAACTGACTTTCCATATCAGGGGTGGCCAACCTGGGACACTCATGCCACTAGTGATGTTGGTGGGCTCTGTTTGTGGCATGTGGCAGACTGTGGAGGGAGCAGGAAACAGCAGCAAATGGAGCAGGGAGCAGAAGATAGTGCAGCAGAACAGGCAGATAGCACAGGACAGGAAGCAGAAAGTAGAGCAGCAGATTGAGCAGGTGAAAGGGATCCAAGTGGCACTTAAGGAGGGTGCAGAGCTTAATTTGTGGGGCACTTACCAACAAAATCAGCCTGAACTTACCTAAATAATAAATCCTGAAAGGTAACAAATGTCTCCTGTCAACTGTTAAGTGAACTCACCTATCATTGATCTTTATTGATAGCCAGGTTCTCCAGCATTTTGCAGGAACATTTGTGGGATATGGTTTATTTGCAGCATTATAAGTATACTGATATTCCCTTGGCTTGTAATGGCTGCAGAGCTTTAGGATTACCATTGAAAAGGGAGAAGATCCCATGCATGTGACAAAGGGGAAGAAAAGGCTCATTGAAGAACTATGTTGCAAATTACTGGGGCTAGGGAGGGGAATAAAGCTTGTATCCTATTACTCTATAAATAAATGCAGAATAAAGAAACAACCTTTTCCTCATCCTGATCACAGACATTTCTTTTCTATTTCCAGTAATAGAGAGTAGAAGAAATAGAACAGAAGAATTACAGAAGAGATGGACAAGAAGGGGCCATGGTTGATAAAGAGCACTTTCTGCACTCCTGATTTAGGAGGAGGAATTTACTGAGCCTATTAGACACAGAGTAATACTCAACAGAATGTTATCCTTGAGAAATGTCAGGGGATCTTTGAAACATAGAAATGAAAGCTAGACTCGGCAGATGTGACATGAAACCATTACACAACTTCGCTATCATGTGCTGTCGCTTGCTGAACTGTGAAGAACTGCATATTTGAGCTGCTCTCTCTACTATTGCCAATCACCTTTTTTGGACTTGAAAGTGATATTTTCTTATTGACTCTAGTGATTTCATTTGCATGTGTTTGGTGATTATGCACAAGCAAAATATATAATCTGCTTTACCTATTTAAAAATCCATCAGCACAGTGGTGAGTACAATTAATTTCACTTTCCGCCCCTCTCACAGAATCTTAATCACTTAGGTCTATGTCACTGCAAGTCAAAAATGATTTCATATAAAGGTTAGTGTAAATGTCTGCACATACTTTATGGAAACTAGCCTCTGAAGACATTTTCACTGATTATTGGTGAAAGGAGAAAAAAGCTATTTATAACAAGGCCTTATGTTGTGTACATACGTTGTCTTTGAAATATTTGTGATTTAGTTTATTGCTTGTAAAAGAGAAATTATATAATTTATTTAGTATATACTACCGTAAACTATAGTTTTATTGACAGAAATAAAATATTTTGTTCTCAAAACCTGTGATGAAAACTTGAAGATATTTATGAGGTTTACGCATGTATTATCCTTGTGCTCCAGTACCTTTTTGAACATCTGAAATGGTCTTTATGTAGGAATGTGCCAGTCAGTATATAACAAGTAATCTGTCCACATCTGCTGCTGCCTCTTCTATGTCAGGAGATTTTAAGATATTAGAAAAAAGGCAATGGAAGAGCATAGCAGGAAGGGTAGAAGCAATCTGGTTTCTTTTAGTTTTTTGTCACAGTAAAGTTTTTAAATATCATTCTAAGAATCCACACTGACAGCAGAATTTTGGGAAACTTCATAAATGTCATGTTGAAAGTTCTTGGAAGCTGGTAGGGATGACATTTCTTCGAGAAATAAGTATTCCCCAAGGGGTGAAAAAGTATCAAAATAAGTGACGTAGACCCTAGACGTAACATTTTGCATTTCTGTAAAACCTTCTATATAAGGATTTTTCCTAGTATTAAGCAAAAAGCATCCGGAGGCTTTTTATGAAGTGTTTTATCAACAGGATGGAGAATCAGGGAAGCTGACATTTTTTTCAAGCACTTAAAAACAGACTATGATGGAGCCAGGACTAGAACTTAGTTCTCTTGACTCCTAGCCACATTAACTATGAAACCATTCTGCATTTTAGGAAGATAATTCCCAACAACACGCTGACTGAAAGTGAGAGAGAAAGAGAGATTAATTTATGCCTTGTGACTGCTATGTATAATAAGTACGTGGGTGTCAGCTTCTCTATGGATAATCTTTTATACATTTAGTGTTTTTTTTGTATAAAACAAGTAGTATTGGTACCCCAGAGAAGGCATTTATTTGAACATAGTGAATCCATGCAAGTACATACAGTTCTTCTACACTGTCATTCTCAAATAATGTGTGTTCTGTGCAGGTTGGTACATAAAAGGCTTTATAAATGAAAATACGGGCTTCACTGGAAATTGGCTCTGTATAAAAAGTTTACATATCAAGTACAGTGTATTTTTATCCTATTGCCCCAACATTCCTGTTTTTCCCTATGAATAGAAACATCCATCCAATGCCAACAAAAGTAAATCCAGATTAGATTACCAATGTGAGAGGAAGGAGACTTTCCCCCTTAAGGATCACATTATAAATAGTACAGTATTTGTGTTCCTCTTAATGTTGGTTTCCAATGAAAGGAAAGAGAAATTCCAGTTCAACATACCAGATGGTCAGTGATCCAAGCTTGAAACAAGTAAGGTCCTCTCTATAAGGCACAGAAGCAGGAAGAAAATCATAATCAAGTATTAGTACAGTATATTTATGAGGACTATGCATGTTTTACCTGCAAGCAACTGGGTGTTACTTAGTTTGCCTGAATAGCAATTCTACAAAAACTGAAGGGCTGTTTACAATGATAACTGATAAGGGGATGTTTATCAGGAAACATTTGAAAGGATATAGAAGGTACAGTTGCCAATAACATGCTACCCGGGCTAGGAAAAGGATGTATTAGCATATATCTCCAGGTTTCAGCACACGGAACTCCACCATAGGGAACAACATAAGAAGCAGGTCATAAGAATGTGGCAGTATCTGTACACACAGGTATTTAAATATCTTGGCCCTATGAACAGTCCAGAAGGAGAAGTAGATAGTTTGAGGTCTGCTTAGGAACATATGGAAAAACTTTTTAGATTGGCTATATTTGACCTTGAAAATGATATTGTTCTAATGTCCTGTAGAGTTCTGGAAGAGAAGAACGAAGATGCCATTTACATTTTAAAATTAACTTGCGTTATTCTTCTTTGACTGGAAAACTGGACACTTCTGTGAATCCCTTTTCTCCTAAATTTTAGAATATAGCAACACTGGAAACAAAATTGAGCTTGAAAGTGAAGTTTGCTGTTGTCTGTTTTATCCTACAGGTATCTACATATTGCTTAACCCTCTGTTCTATGTTTCCAATGAATGCTAAATAGAGATAAAGAGCAGTCGGCAGCACCCGTTGTCTACTCAGCCCAAAAACTGTGCGCTGAGTCATTTTAGGATGACATGCATGTTTGCTTGCAACATATCAGCTATTTCCAGAGTAAAAGTATAGGACCATACATATGCAGGGGTTTAGGTTGTAGCCGTGTTGGTCTAAGGACATAGGCAGACAAGGTTCCTTGGGTGAATTTGGTATCTTTTATTAGACCAACCCAAATGGTTGGAGAATAGTTATTAAGCAAGCTTTCGGGTTCAAAAACCCTTCGTCAGGCTAAGGAAGCTGCAGCAGTTGGTGTGTGCTCTTCCTGGATGTAATGAAAAGTAAACAAGCCAGGGGCTGGGCTGGGTTGGGGAGTCAGTTGCCAGGCAGATTATAATGTATCAAAAAAACAATGTCTGTGTTTAGTCCATGATCTGTAGTATCCAGCAGGTTGATGAAATGGAGCTCATAGGCTCGTCTCTGGGATGTGTTGTGTAAATTTCCCTTGAGGATCAGGACTGAGAGATTGGAGAGAGAGTGGCCCTCCTGTGAGAAATGTGCCCCCACAGGTAATTGGGTATTTCTGTCTTTGATGGATTTCCGGTGTGCGTTCATTCTGGTGCGCAGTTGTTGTCTGGTCTCTCCTGCGTATTTTCCGTCACGGCATTTGGTGCATTGGATGAGGTATATTACATTTCTGGAGGTGCAGCTGTAAGATCCTGGGATGCTGATGGCTCTGTTGTCGGGTGTAGTAATAGTGGGGGTGGTGGAGATGTGTTGGCAGGTTTTGCATTTCTTGTCATGGCACGGTCTGGATCCTTTTGGTCTGTTCTGGGCTTGAGGAATTTTTCTTCTGGTGATGAGGTTGGTGAGGTTTGGTGCTTGTTGCAACCCATGCTAGACAGAGACCCTATTCTTAAAAAGATCTTCCCAGAGCCACCCATCCTAGCCTTCAGACAAGCACCGAACCTTGCCAACCTCATCACCAGAACCAACTTCCTCAAGCCCAGAACACACCAAAAGGATCCAGGCCATGTCAGCACAAGAAATGCAAGACCTGCCAACACATCTCCACCACCCCCACTATTACTACACCTGACAACAGAGCCATCAGCATCCCAGGATCTTACAGCTGCACCTCCAGAAATGTAATATATCTCATCCAGTGCACCAAATGCCCTGATGGAAGATATGTAGGAGAGACCAGACAACAACTGCGCACCAGAATGAACGCACACCGGAAATCCATCAAAGACAGAAATACCCAATTACCGGTGGGGGCACATTTCTCACAGGAGGGCCACTCTCTCTCCAATCTCTCAGTCCTGATCCTCAAGGGAAATTTACACAACACTTCCCAGAGACGAGCCTATGAGCTCCATTTCATCAACCTGCTGGATACTACAGATCAGGGACTAAACACAGACATTGTTTTTTTGATACATTATAATCTGCCTGGCAACTGACTCCCCAGCCCAGCCCAGCCCCTGGCTTGTTTACTTTTCATTCCATCCAGGAAGAGCGCACACCAACTGCTGAAGCTTCCTTAGCCTGACGAAGGGTTTTTGAACCCGAAAGCTTGCTTAATAACTATTCTCCAGCCATTTGGGTTGGTCTAATAAAAGATATTGAATTCACCCAAGGAACCTTGTCGGACCATATATATAGAACTCATGTGGGGTGCGGGCTACAATGAGAGACACTTCTAGAAATGAAGAGTGATATATAGTAATTTGCAGCAAATTGGTGTAAATAGCACATTTGTATGATTTAAAAGAAATGATTTTAACATTGTATACCATCTCTCACAGGGCTTTAAAAAGGAGACTTCTTGTTACTTTTCAAGTGGGGAGACAGGGCACAGAAGGATTAAGTGGAATAAAACAACTCAATTACATTAGATGCCTAGTGCTAAATTCACCCAAGTTGAAAGGCAGTACAATTAAGACCTCAGTTGAAGATGTAGGTTGTGCCAAGGTTTGTCCTCACATGTGTGCCAATGACTGACTTGGGGTGTTGAATTTCACCCTCAAATCATGGTGAAATTCAGCTCAATCTAGAAAAAAATTAGTAAGATGATGGGCACATTCCTCAAGAGAGAGAGAAAATCATATGCTACCTAAGAATTAATAAATTTCTAATGACTAGCTAAATATTGTGGAGCTCTGTTTCTCCTTCTTGGACTTCTCTGCAGAAATGTGCTTAGCCTGCTAACACATGTAGGTGAAGTTCTTCTTATGATCCTCATTTCTGTCTGCTTTGGCCAGAACCAAAAAGCTTATTTAAAAAAAAAAGACAAACCTCTGCTGTGAAGCATAGCACTAGCACAGCACTGTCACTGTCAGAGGAACTGGATAAGAGATGAGCACAGGTTTCCTTTGACAACTGCTGGGGCTAGGTTCCTGAGAGTTCCCATGGTTGGCAAGACAAAAAGCTTATGGGAAAAATGGCATGCGGCAGGCTGATGCATAGCCATGGAAAACCGTGGTTACTCAAAACTGTATACTGTGGTAGCCGAAATGGTATATAGAATATTAAACGTGGATACTCAAAACTGTGGTTGGTGAGGGAAACCTGTATCTATTCTTACTGCTAAGTCCGTGGGTTTGTATGCAGGTAGAGTGAAAAGGGTAGAACAACTACTCATTCTGGTTTGTGGGATGAGTCATAGTCCATCCTAGTCATGAAATGTCCAGGGGCCTCCTTACTTTCAGATGCAGGAGCATGAAACAATCTGTAAGCACAGGGGATGGTGCAGAATCTGAGGGCAGCAAAGTCAAGCAACAGCTCAAGCAGGCTCTTCTGCTGCACGCGAACCTGTTCCCTCATTCCCCAGCCAAGCTTTTGGATACTGTACAGCTGTTCTGTCCTCTCTCCCCCTCTTCCTCCTTCCCTCTTCCCCACCTTCCCTTTGTTCTCAGGTGCTCATCTCGCCTATGCCCAATTCATTATGCAGTAGCTCATCTTCAATCCCTTTCCTCTTTCCACTGTGGTTCCGTGTCTTCTCTCCAGACCAAAGTGGCAGCCCTCTGCCAGAAGAAGTAAAAGGTCCTGCCAAAGAAAT